GCGGAACATACAATATAATTCTATATAAGAAGTTTTGAATTCTGGTTGGCTAAGGGACTTGACGCATGCTCAAATCTGCTGTTTTTATAGTCGAACTCCCGCTATTTTAAATTGGCGGAGGTTGTAATTATTCGACCTTTTAATACGAGTACAGCGATTAGTGATTATCAAATTACGTGTCATTGTCGGTATTAATTTTCCATTGTTTTTACTCTCAAATTGCTATTTTGTATTTGTGTATGACACAATGGCTTGAAGTGCGACTGCGATTTGCTCAACTGATGTTGATTTAGTAAATAGCTTATTAGCTAAACCGTTCTCTGCTCGATCGTCGGTCGAACAGAATGTTATCGTTCATGAACGGCCTACTCCTGATTTAACTATCCAAAATAAGGGAAGAGCATTTCAGAGAGATTGGTATGAGGCGAAGGACTGGCTGTGTGGCAGTACAACCTTGCAGAAAGTGTTTTGTTGGCCATGTCTAATGTTTTCCCAAAACATCGCCATCGTGGACTAAGAATGGCTACAACGATATGCGGAGTATTATGTGCATTTAAGACATGGAAAACGTATGGAGCTAGTGAACGAATTGATTGTCTTATGTCCCTCGCTAGAAGAAATGAGATTCAGCGTCACAATGAGGAGGTAAGACAAAATCGAGAAATTTTAAAACTGTTACTGAGGCCGTGCTGTATTTGTCAAAGCAAGAGTTGCCATTTAGAGGTCACAATGAGTCCGAAGGTAGCTTGAACAAAGGTAATTATAGAGAGTTGCTCGAATGTTTTGCTAAGTTTGATTCTGTATTTGAGCGTCGACTGCACAGTAGACTAGCAGAATCTGATATAGTTGGTGACAGAAGATTTACTGGAGTCTCCCCAGAAATTCAAAATGGTCTTATCAGCTGTCTTGATTCAATTATTGAAGATGAAATCAGAAAGGAAATAAATGATTGCACATTTATGAGTATTCAGGTTGATGAAGCATCTGATGTCTCCACCAAAGAGCAGCTAAGTGTTATTGCTCGGTTTGACAAAGCAAGTGAAATTATGGAGAGGCAATTAGGATTTGTGGATGTAAGTATGAACAGAAATGCCACAGCAATATCACAAGTTGTCAAAGATAAACTTGGTGAGTATTCTAATATAAAAGAAAAACTGGTTTTACAAACATATGATGGTGCTTCTGTCATGTCTGGCCATATGAATGGTGTTCAAGCATTGGTTCGACAAGAGTATCCTTTCGCTCATTTTGTTCATTGTGCAGCTCATAGATTGAACCTGGTCCTATGCCAGTCAGCCTCATCAATTTCTCCTGTTAAAATCTTTTTATTAATATAGCTACATTCAGCACATTTACAAGCAATGCCCCAAAAGAAAAGCTTTTCTCACATCTAACAACCTTGAGTTTCCTGCCCTGGTGAAACAAGATGGTATTATCGCTCTAGATTAATCAATGTATTGCACAAAACTATGAAAACTTTTAGATATTTTTGAGGGGTACTTGAACAACCAGCTGGGTGGGATGATGAGTCATTAAGTAAAATAAGTGGCTTACTGCATTATCTTGATAGCTTTCTCTTTTGTTTTCTAGTGTGTGTTTTTTACAGGATTTTAGAACAGTCCACAATTTTGTATTCCATTCTTCAAAATAGGGAAACCCATTTTAACTATGGCATAAACACGATTGACAATTTCAAGCAGTTTATTGTGTCACTTCGCACAGATCAAGCTTTCACCGAGTTTTACCAAACTGCACTAGAAAAAGTAGGCCCACCAGCAACCAGAGCAGATAGTAGATACAATTACAAACAGCTTTATTTTGAGATTATTGATTCCATTAAAGGCATGTTAAGTGAACGATTTCAAGATATTAATCAGTTCGAGTTTTTAGACCTTGTAAATCCTAAACTATTTACTACATGGAAGGGCATAAGTCCACAGGAGAAGATCAATCTTCTCAAAGATAAGTATAGTCCTCTTTTTGACATCCAAACTTTGGAGAGTCAACTTTCCTTCATTTACAACGACAGGGACTTTCACAAAGAGTGCAGTAATGAGGTTCTTAAATACATCTTCAAATTTAATCTCCAGTCGAGTTTAGGTCAAGTGGTAAATTTGTTAAAATTGAATGGTGTGTTGGCAGTGGCAAGTGCTTCAGTAGAGAGGTCGTTTTCTTGCTTAAAAGGGTAAAAGCTATTTAAGAAATAGAATGGGTCAAGGTCGGCTTAGCTCTTTGTGTAGAATATCTATTCACAAAGATATCATTGAAAAGAAAGAGGAATCAGAGGTGTTGCATAACGAGGTGTCTGAAAAATTTGTAGAAAAACCCAGGAGGCTGGCCTTTCTTTATAAATGATGAGTATAGTATGTGTTTTGATATTTGTTCGTATAATACATGGTACTTCATTGAGAAAATTAAGCATAACTTTAAAGAATAAAGCCATCCCTGTCTACTTGCCCCAATCTAAACAAGTTTAAACTAACAAGTAGAATGCTAAGAAAAATCTCTCTCTATGCACTTTAGAAGTGTCGTATACTATATTATTTTTTGTGCTAATACAAATTTCTTCTGTTTATGCAGGGGCAGTGATGAGTAAATTATGTTTTAGGGGACAATTGTCTCCTGCGTAACGTTTCTCTGAGCCACCGTTAGTACTTTTTTAACTAGTTGCAGTTTCAACGATTGCCACATTAAGAATGCAGCTAACAAAAATGGGTTTTTATAAATTATTGTACAACAAATAATTCGCCCTCGAAATCGCAGGAAATGCTGTTTCCAAGGCTCTGGATTTCAAAATTTTCCGGGGGGGGGGAAACCCCCGGACCTCCCTAGTGGTCGCGCCTCCGGCGCGAGATGCATTGGCGGGAGTGACTATTTTTCCTAGCTACGCCACTGGAATCCATTAGTCAAAAATTCACCTCACACTATCAGAAAGGCCACCACTTTCCTCGCCAGTATTGAACACATTAAACTACGACCAGATGAAATCATGATATCCTACGACGTGACATCACTCTTCACATCCATACTACTAGACATCGCCAAACAAATTACAAACGAACTACTCACAAACGACAAAACTTGGCAAGCTACAACACAAATAGACAAAAATGACATCCTAGACTTACTCAACCTTTGCCTCTCCACTGAATTCACCTTCCAAAACACATACTACAGACAAATTTCAGGCACACCAATGGGATCTACAATATCCACATTCTCGCAGAAGCTGTCATGCAACACCTCGAAACACAATCAGTCAGAAACAACACAAACATCAGACTATGGAAAGATATGTCGACGACATCTTTGCCATAGTCAAGAAAGACAAAACTGAACTAATCCTACACACCATTAACCATACCACAAAGAACATTACCTTTACTAAGACGAAGAACACGACAAACAACTTACCTTCCTCGACATCCTACTAACCAGAACAGATGACGGTACACTAAACACACAAGTATACCGCAAAACCACCAACACAGACCAAATACTCAATTTCAACAGCAATCATCCAACACAACACAAAAGAAGCTGCATTCGAACACTTTTCAACAGGATAAACACTCATTGTAATACGGAAGAAGCCAAAAAAACAGAACGCAACTACTTATACTCCACATTTATTAAAAACAATTACCCTAGAAACTTCATGATAAAAACTATATACAAAATACAAAACAAAACACAAACCAATAAAAGCAACAAAAAACCGGACGAAACAGTAAAAATCGTCACATTACCATACATTAACGGAACATCAGAAAAGACTGGCAGACTTCTTCGACCATTTAATATTAACGTCGCCCACAAACCTACACAAAAACTCAAATCATTTTTCACCAAACATAAAGACAAAACAACAATTCATGATACAACTGACGCGATCTACATGATACCATGTAAAGACTGTTCAAAGCAATACATAGGACAAACATCTAAGAAAATTGAAACAAGACTCACAGAACACAAAACGCCATAAAACGACGAGATCCAAACTCACTACCGGCAGAACATACCCACGGAAACAACGACACATTCGACTGGACAGAAACTAAATTACTCGGACGCGCACAGACTAAACACGCACGCAAATTTAAAGAAGCTTGGTACAGTAAAGACAACGACACAATAAACAGACATATCGACATACCCATCATATACTCACAACTAAAGGAAAAGGACATAAAAACTACAAACAACACCAAAACTAAAACACTACACTCTAATATTATTAACACCAATCATATTCACAATACACCAAAACCCATGGAAACGCATTTCACGCCATCCAATCACATTAATCCACCCACTCCTCCAATTAGACGCTCTAAACGTCTCCAAGCTAAAAGCACGTGTAAATAAATATTTTTCATTCTGATGAAGACTCGAAGCAACGAGTCGAAAGCTCAATAAAACTCACTTTAAATCCGGAGAAACTTTATATATATATATATGTATATAACCCTAACCCTAACCCTAACCTCAGCCCTAACCTAATGTGATTGTTTTGAGGATTTGAATGTCTTCGTTAATATGCGTGTGTAACGTTTAATCGTTAAGAAGGATCGAAAATAAACTCGTACGCTTTGCTCACTAGTTAGTCTTTAATCCTTCTTGTATATAACAATTGTACACACTCACCAAAGATACACATGCCTTTTTATCTCATCGACAAAAGAAGCGCTTCACACTGACAAACTTAAAGCAGACTACGACAAGTACATTATCACAAATTCTCGGTACAAAATACTTTATAACATAATGCTGTAATGTCATTGATGCTCTTATCGTGGTTTTTCATACAGCCTGAAATTTTCTATTTCTCTTTATAACGCTCGATGAGTCAGCCATGTACGATAGTCGTTTTTCGATGCAATACATGCTAACCAAAATAATCAAAGTTTCGTTTCTTAAGGCTTTTAATGTAAGCAGCTTTGTGCTTACACGTTAAAATATTTTTCTTATATTTTGCAAAACGTTCCGGTCATTACCTTTTCATAAGTGGCAGCCCATTTTGAGTAAAGATTAACCACATCTTCTTGGGTGTGCTTGCAGTAAATTGTTTCAGACGTGTGTAGCATTCATTTTCATTCGGATCCATTGATATTCGTTTTTTATCACAAATTCTGCGAATGTAGGAGTGTTATGGTGTTGTTTAATGTTTATGTGATACACGTGTAGCAAACGGATACATCAATAATAATGACGTCGTAATAATTAATTTGTAAGTATAATTGGTAAGAATTTTACAAGTTAACAGGAATTATAATTAGGGATGAGGGTAACCAAAAAAGAAAGAAAAGAGAACGGAGATAGTATTAACAGGAAAACAAATTAAATTTTTTGGAAATTAAAAGATATTATATTGGCGAAGAGGAAAGCAAAAGCAATGGCCACAGTACTCAGTATTTCACATTAATCGCTTTTGTTGAAATATAAAACTATCGTCATAGTTCAGTTACGTGACGGAATGTAAGTTTGATTACTGTCAACCAATGGAAATAATAGGGCAGGGCATGCTAAAGAAAGTGTCATTTTTCATTCACGTTTAATCGAGATAACTGTTTGTAGTGAGTTTTTATACATTACAGGAGTTTTTTGCAAAAGCGAATAATAATTTTATTGCTTCCGCGGGTTAATTTGTAAGTTAAATTGTAAATAGAAGATATGTTAATCAGAGGAAACGAAGAGAAGGTGAGACACACTCTTAATGTATACAAAAGTACTGGGAATGTTTGTTACTTTTACTCAAAGAATTCCGCGTGCTAAGGTCATGGAGTCAAGGTTCATTGCGATGGAAGCCAAGGCTCATTGCGGACGCTGCAAGAGAAACAGGCTGTTTGCTACAAGTATTTGCATTTTGTTCACATGCACATAGTGTGATTCACGTGCACAGGTGTTAGCTACGGTGGCCGTATCTGCCATTCACAAATTAATTTGTCAATGCACAAACATTCCCTTAAATTCAAAAACAATGCATATGATACTAAAATAATGTGCTGAAAGCAATACAAATTTGCCGATGCAAATCAAACTAAAAGTTATAAACAAATTGAGTATTGCAATGCAAAATAAAACCAAATGCACGAAACCAGTTATCGTAATGCAAAATCAAAGTTCAATAACAAAGCCTACCGGTCATATCTACAGAAGACTAGGAACAAGAAATTTTAACCGGGGGTTAATATTGTAAGAAGAGACTCTGTTTACCACATGATGGTTTACCACTGGTAATTCGCTCGTGTTTTAACACATTTGAATTATAGTCCTGAGAAGGACTGTTTTTGTTGTTGTCGACTGACGTTTCGACAACCTTAGCGGTAGTCATCTTCAGAGTCAAATGAGGACGAAGTTTTAATTACTATCGGGCTAATGGAGTAAAGGGAGAGAGCAAAAGAGTTTTGGAAAGACGTTTCCAGTAAAAGTTGAAAAAATTATGAATTATCATGAGGTGTGGCAGGCAGCTTTAAAGAAATGGGAAAATTATGACCGTAAGTTTACTCGTGATCGTGGATATATTTTGGTATATCCAGATGGTAATTCTTAATTACATCGTCTTCGCCTTTAGGAGCTTCTTCGTTTTCCTGCATTTTAGTTTGTGGTACTTTGTATTTAATTTTAATTTACCAGGCAATAAACAAAATCCTTTTATTGTCACTCCGGTTAAGATTTCTTGTTCCTAGTCTCCTTTAGATTAGACCGGTAGGCTTTGATATTGAACTTTGATTTTGCATTGCGATAACTGGTTTCGTGCATTTGGTCAGTTTTATTTTGCATTGCAATATTCAATTTGTTTATAACTTTTAGTTTGATTTGCATCATGGCAAATTTATTGTGCATTCAGCACATCGTTTTTGTATCAAATACATTGTTTTTGAACTTAAGGGCATATTTGTGCATTGACAAATTAATTTGTGAATTGCAGATACGGGCCACCGTAGTTAGCCATAGGTAATGTACAAACAAATCACATATCATTCAGAAGGTGGCCGTCGCCACGTGAAATTTATCGAAAAATCCACCCTTCCCTCCCTCCCTTTCTCTCTGTCGATTTTGCATGTACTATTTAGATTTGTTTCCAGGGTAACGATTTTATCACTTCATCTTTTCTGTGCTATAGAGAAAAACTTTGTTCGTAAAGATTTTTGTTTATATTGTGTAAAATAATTGATTTAGATTTTGTTATACTTGTTACTTCTATTTTAATAAATCGGCATGTACTTTTACACATTGCCAATTTTTACCCAAAAGAGAGTACTCTTTAATGTCATGCGCACAGAAAACAGAGCTCATTAGCCCCAGAACATCATTTGGATTTCGATTTGTTATGATTAAGCGGAAGCGATAAATTATCTTCGTTAATTATACGAGACTTTGTGTTGTAAATTTCATGAGACTTTTTGCAGATCGATACCGGAGAGGCAGGTAATTTGCGAAAAGTGGCACCTCGAAGGGATTGAAGCGTTTGTAAGGAAATCTGACTATATTCAAACCAAGTTGTTGACAGAAATGGCAGACAGCAATGTGATAGTGACTTTTGGCGTCAAATTAAAACAACTTCCAATGACATGAAAGAGAACTGATTCGGTGATTAGTTCCAACAAAGATTCTGCAATCAAACGCCAATTTGAAGCGGTAAAGGCTCTAAGAAGCGCGTTAGAAACTTTGAGACGAAACGTAGAAGCTTTAAAATCGAACAAGAGTGAGCGAGAACAAAGATACAGCAAGGAATACTGGTGATGAAGACGAGATCGAGAAGGCAGATAACGACGTAAAGCAATTAGAGGAATGACGAATCCGAAAATAGCGAATCCGAAAAAGAGGGAAATGCGCGTGAGGAGCAATTACGATACGAGTTAAAGCTACACAAAGCTAAACTGAAATTGATGCTAAACGCCAAGCGAAGGTAATTAAGTGAAGAAAATTCCTCGAAGGATGCGCACTCAAAATAATTGGAAGCGAAATTCCAAGGCTCCTAATATCCAAATTTGATGGATACTAGATGAATTGGCTGTTATTTTGTGACAGTTCACGGAATCAATCGCGATGTCTGGACAAGCAAGTATAGCTAAATTTTCGTAAATTTCAAAAGCACATGCAGGAAAGGTTGCTGACTTCATTGGCAAGTTGACATATTGCGTCCAATCATTGCAATTGCTCAAAGGTTAAACGAAGTAAAGGGTCTTACGATGGTGACCATTGGCAAGCTGCCAGCAATACGGGGTGACCTGGTTAGGTCGAATGGTTACTAGGAAACAAGGCATTTGGATCAACTGAGGGAAGCATTACGCCTTTAGCTACGACGTATCCCAGTGGACACCAGTCAAAACTTAAAGAATAATCTTGTCAGGGAACGTAGGAAAGAGAGTATATCTTATTAACCGAACAGACATTCCCTGAGGTGCGTATATTGCAATAGTAACGATTATAAAGCTGTCGACTGCACGAAAATAACAGCTATAGCTGACAGAAAGCAAGTCCTGATAAAAAAGATCTGTGCTTCAAATGCGACCTTAAGAACCAGCACGCTGCAAAGTTTGCAAGCGAAACATCGTGTGAAACCTGCCACAAAAGACACCATACCTTGATATGCAACAAATCACAGACAAGTGAAATGCAAAGGTGACATTAACAAAGTAAATGGAATTGTTACTAGAGCACTGATCGATAGAGGAGCGGGCAGCTCATATGTTTCTGCTAAGGTCGGAACTCTGTATAAAACAAAACCTCTAGACGTATCCACTAAACGCGTTGAGATGTTATGTGTTCTCATCTTACAAGAATGGAAACGTACCATTTTGTGTTTAAATCTCTTGTCAATTGCTTCTGCATGGATAGAAAGCTTATGAAGATTGGCAAAAGCGAACTTTTCACGATAGACAACGCACAGTTTAGAAGTGTTAAGGCTAAGTAACCACACCTGTCCCAAGTAACCCTGACCAATGATGACAACAGGAAAAAACTACATATCCACGTGATCCTTAGTGTTGGAGATTATGCCAGAATTAGAACTAACAAGCCACCCTTAGTAGGAAACTCTGGACAACCGGTTACAGAGCTTACAGAGATAGGTTGGATCATCATCTTCCATGGAAAAAGGGTTAACCGACAAAATTTACTACTCACCTAGACAAGCCACGTTTACTACTACGAATTGTTTCATCGTTTTGATTTACATACGCTGAAGTCATGTTTTATTTTAATGTTACGCTACATTTCTGCTTATTCTTTATGACAATTTTTTAATTGTTAAGAAAACTGATCACCCACTATGAAGCAAGTTGCATTAGCACAGATAAATGCAAATTACGAATATGTAAATTAGAAACGAGTTATGATACATTATCTAATTTACATATAACCAATTTTAACATCTCAACAATTCAGCATGCATTCATGCAAACGTTATTTTAAAAATAAATGTTTACCACATTTTTGGGAGATCTGTTTGCTAAAGATAATAAAAAATTGTGTTGTATTACACTTATTTTGTAGATAAGAAGTAAAAAATAAAATAAAAATTAGGAGGATATCAGCATAATTTTAATTCAACGTCATAACTAAACAGAATAATATCACAAAACACAAGTTTCCTGCAAGATCAAAATACCTAGTAAGAGAGTATTTAGCTCAGAAAAAGCTCGGTCACAAACTCTTTGTTAAAACACTGCTTAAATAATTGTTAGTAGTTTTACTCGACTAGTTTTCTTAATTTCCTTGAAATGGAAATACTTTGTGAGCACCGACTGCATTAAAATATGGATGTCATTAATGTACGAGTACACAATGCGAAAAATTTCTACCATCATGCATTGCACTTTCCAGTTTCTCAAAATGCGATCGCGACTCAATGGTGTATTCTCAAAAGTAAACTGTGTGCCCGAATGAAAATCAACTCACAAACTCATAGGAAAAAACGCAAAAAAATTTATGACACAAAATGCAATAACTATCGCTGTGATGTATTTCAAAGTAAATCTTTAAAGGGGAACTCCACCCAAAAATAATGTTGGTCTTAAAAGTTCCATTTTTATGCAAAGGTTACTATATTTTGAAATTTTTACATCAGCTATTTTATTTTTGACAAAATCGCGTCTTCAAGTGCACTATTTGAGCTGTTTTGAGGCTTAGCAGCGTGGGCACAGAAAGCGTCAGCGGAAATTATTTTGACGTCATATCGTCAAACCGATTTGGAGTTGAGTTTACAACAAAGTAAAATAATAACGCACAGCCTAGCACAAAAACAAAACAATCGCTTATAATGGCTTTTTTGGAAGAACCTCGGCCTAATTCACCAATCGATAGTGAAATGGAAGACAATCCAACAAACAATATTCGGCCATATCAGTTTGAGCCCAAATGGCCGGCTGATGAACACGAAGAAGCTCACCAGTTTGAGGATAATGAAGAACAGGAATTTTTGTATATTGACGATGAATCTCGGCGCGACAATCTTGAATGGTGGGTAGTAAAATGTTATATTATTCTAGACCATATCTCAAAAGTACGTTTTCAGTTTTTGAAGTTGACCACGTCCACACACACATATTACTTTAGATTTTAAAGTTTTTATTGTAAGATACAATTTTTATTGAAATTTTGACATTTACTTTTCAAGATCCTTTCTTTTAACATATTCAGGTGTCAATGTGGTAACTGCCAAATAATGGATAATAACGACGAATGTTTATGCTGCAAAGAGATTTCCAATATTTGTGACAAAAATTTAGAGGCAGTAGAAACGAATAAGACCACCGAAGTCCCTTTGTGCATTACACAACATCATGGTTTTGAGCCTGTTTGTCTTAACAGGTGGGTTTTACAAACAGCTTGGTACCAGTACAAGCAGCAATATGAGGTAGCATATGATGGGCCCGAAGACAAACTGTACCGCAATATTGCATATAGACAGTTGGCAAGATGGTGCTGGGGTGTCTTGGGTAGAGAAGTGAGAGTTATCTTGCCATCATGTGCAGTTACTCGCATTAGAGAAACATTTCCTCCACCTGGCCTTGCAGAGGAATTTCAATTTGAAGGCTTTCCCTATGTTGATGAATGAAGTATTTTATTATGATATAGGTATACCCATTACAATTACTTTGTATGTCAATATTAAAGTGGCATAGCCAGCTCATTTATAGCTCATGCTATGCACATTTATTATTATTAATTTATTACAAAAAAAAAAACCAGATTTACAAAGAAATCATTATAAATGTGGCTTGGCTATTACACTGGTTATAATATAACTATAATTAATTACATGAATAGTTTGTGTAATGCAGTGGTGAAACTAGCTATAGCAAAAGGTTTTGCTATGTTAATATTTAAGAATGAACATTTTTTAAGTAGTACAAAAGTTGTCTTCACTGATTCAACGTCATATTATATGGGTATGGCAAAACCTATTGCCATAGCTAACATCACCACTGACATTTTATGCAAATCTAGACTGATGTTCCTTTACACTTACTTCTTTCCTGGGTGGACATGATTTAGAAATGCTCTTTGGAAGATTCTCGCCATGATGTACAAGTTCAATCTCCTCAGTTTTGCATGCATTCACAACCTCCGCAAGTAGTTTATCAATGTACTGGTACTCTTTCTTTTCTTTCATTGCCTTTACAACCCATTGCTTCTGTGTTTTAGCAAAAATCATTTTGTAACGGTCTTGCCCTTTGTTTGTCCCTGACTTAATGACTGCTTTATCACGTTTAATATTGTTGTTGTGATCTAATGCTGCTAACTGAGTGCGGGCTACCATCCCAGGAAATAAAAATGCTCTCACTTTGGGCAATATTTCAGTAAAAGGGAATGGTAAACCTCCAACTATCCTGTGTGACAAAACTCAGATAGCTTCCGCAGGTCTTTTAGAAGCCTCTTGTCACATATCACCTTCTCTGCAGCGATATATGCTTGTGAAGTAGGAGATAACCACTTCTTCTGCTTTGTTTCTTTTTCTGTTAATTGTTGGTGGCAACATTGATGAAAATATGTGTTCACCTTCCAGAAATGCTTGTTGGAAATGTGGTTAAGGACAGACTTCCCTTTTTCCACCAATTCTTCTGCATTCTTGTTACAACTTGTAGAGCACCACCAAAGAGGATTAGAAATGGACTTAATCCAATGGGTCAAGTCATCATGTCCCTTAATGTTAGCCTTCTTTGTTAGTTTTTTTGTGACAGATTTAGACAAATGCCACACATCATATTGGTGATCAATATGAGAGTGTTTTTCATAGCACTGGCTATTTTTACAATGGTTTTATGTAGGATTATTTTCTAACCGTAATGAGTTACACAACCATGTTTATTATTATTCAATGTTTAAGGGGCAATAGATTGGTTTCATATCAGTGGAAACTGTTCTTAAGGTTGAATTCGGAGGACAAGCAAACGGCATTACGCACAGTTTCCACACAAAGAAACCTTCGTATTTTTTAAAAAATAATATTAATCGACATTCAAGTTCTATATGTAGTGCGGAAACTGTGCGATAATGGCCTTTATGCATGTGAAACCGTTCTATTAAAACAGAATACAAATAACCAGCTCAATACTTGCATGTAAGCTATAAAAGTTGATTGTGTATATACCTACGAATAAAAAATTCTGACGTTCCGAAAAGAAACATTTTGTGATTAGGAGAAGCATTTTGACGCAAGTTTATTATGACTGTGCAATGACTTTACATAAAGCTTTGAGGAGCAATTGACGATATGACGTCAATACAAGCCGCTGACATATTTCTGCTCCCACGCACCGGATGCCCTAGCTGCAGCATTTCAACTCATTTTTTGTGAAAATATTGAATCAAACAAACAAAAAAATTGCCGCATATTTATTTTCACGGGACAGACAAAGTTTTAAGACCAACATTATTTTTGGGTGGAGTTCCCCTTTAATAAATGAGTATCATATTTGTAAAAAGCTAAAGTATTTTTCATTGTTTTTGAAAAATGAAATAAATTGCACCTTTGTCGTTTGCATATCTTGGCTCAAAATATTTAGAAATAGGTTTCCACTTTCCTTGTTTTGTTATTTCCTCTAATTTCCGATGAAATCCATAGCCAGGGTCATCGAGTACTAATTCATTAATTGTGAAGAATATTACGCCTCCTTGTTTCACGGAATGAATAAAGTCATCCATCCCTTTCCCTTTCACGTGACCAGGTGCAAAAACACCAACGCAAATTACTGCATCGTATTGACCAGCGGTTACTCCCAGTTCAACTGATCCATCTGATCCCATGGTTCCCTTTTTTAGTGATCTGTATTTTGCAGAAATATAAAACATTAATAAAATAAATGAAATAAAAATGCTTGAATAATAAATGCAAGAATATATTGAACATAAAACTCGTTGATACATGCTCTGTGCATGTGCTCATTATTATTTTAAGACGTTGAAATTGAAATAAAGGATTCTTTCAAATGTTGGCTTTTTGTTGATCGTAGGATGGTAAAAAACACAGTATATTTACGAAAACCGTTTACCAAAGAAATTACTGATTTAGAACGATTTGTTGTTTGAAATGAAAAGCATTTAAGTTTTATTGAACATTTTTACAATAACACACAGCAATTGATAATTACTAAAAAAGTTTTACCATTGTACAGAAAGTTTTAACCTGTAAACTCCTTTTGCTTCAGAAAGCTTCAACATTTCTTCACTAATATCAATACCATCTACATTTTTATATCCCAGCTTGTAAAGATGTTCACCAACGAGACCTGTGCCACAACCAAGGTCCAGAATTTCAATCTCCTGGTTGTAGTTATATTTAATAAGTTCCTCGTGAAGCTGTTCTGCTGCAACCACTGGTGCTTGATAACTAATATCATCAGCAACCTAAAATTACATTTTGTATATTAAAAGTTATGTTGAAACGCTCAAATATTTGCCCATTTTTACTTTTTCAATTTAAAAGCTCTCTTTGTGCTATTATATAATTTCAACTTAAACAATGATTTCTTGCATTAAGCGGTAGTCTTATCTTCTTTGCAATAAATTGCTTAATACATAAATCTTAACATTAATCATATTACAGCTTCAACTATGCTTTTTTGTAAAAGATTAATCTTTATATACATCTATTAAAGATCCTTTACCAAATTCTAAGGAGCTTTAATATTTTAGGGAGGAGTAATTCATTTTAAAGTGTACGTTCTTTTCTTTTTGAAGTATCTGCTACAAAAGCAAGATTGCTAAAGTCTGGCAAAAATTAACAACGATTTATGCTCCTGTTTATTCTAAAAATAGGTATGAAATAAATACTTGTAGCTTGCCTGTCAAGTACATGGTCATCAAATAAAGTCGATAAATTAAGATATTTCAAAAGCATTAAACATTTAATAAATTTCCATTAAAGTTGTCAACATAAGGAAAATGTTCACTCTAGTCAATCAAAAAAATAATATAATTTTTTACATAGTTTCTCCATAATGCATTTCTCTCGACCAATTACGTTAAGGCAGGTAAAGTTTTCTCAATTTCTTATAAGCCAAAAAAACAGAACGCAACTATTTATACTCTACATTTATTAAAAACAATTACGCTAGAAACTTCATAAACAAAACTATATACAAAATACAAAACAAAACACAAACCGACAAAAGCAACAAAAAACCGGACGAAACAGTAAAAATCGTCACATTACCATACATAAACGGAACATCAGAAATGACTGCCAGACTTCTTCGGCCATTTAATATTAACGTCGCCCACAAACCTACACAAAAACTCAAATCATGTTTCACCAAACATAAAGACAAAACTACAATTCATGATACAACTGACGCGATCTACATGATACCATGTAAAGACTGTTAAAAGCAATACATAGGACAAACATCTAAGAAAATTGAAACAAGACTCACAGAACACAAAAACGCCATAAAACGATGAGATCCGAACTCACTACCGGCAGAACATACCCACTGAAACAAGCACACATTCGACTGGACAGAAACTAAAGTACTCGAACGAGCACAGACTAAACATGCACGCGAATTTAAAGAAGCTTGGTACAGTAAAGACAACGACACCATAAACAGACGTATCGACATACCCATCATATACTCACAACTAAAGAATAAGGACAAAAAAACTACAAACAACACCAAAACTAAAACACTACACTCTAATATTACTAACACCAATCATATTAAAAATACACCAAAACCCATGGCAACGCATTTCAACCCATCCAATCACATTAATCCACCCACTAATCTAAATAGACGCTCTAAACGTCTCCAAGCTAAAAGCACGGGTAAAGAAATATCCTCATTTTGATGAAGGCTCGAAGCAACGAGTCGAAAGCTCAATAAAAATCATTAAAAATCCGGATAAACTTTTATCTTTTATGTAATCAATGCCTGGATAACAAATTTTCAAACTTTTCTATATGTTGGGAATAAGTTATGTTATTTGAATGTCCTTCTGACAGAGAGACAAATTCTCCTTAGTTGTTATAATTTCGTTAACCAATAGGCTTAGAAAAAGTTTGATTGATGTTTTGTACAAAAGGAGTTAAAGAGGGAGTCTGAGTAAGTGAGCAATATATGTATGAGATAAACATTGCCAGGGAATAAAATTTCGTTATTCAAAGGCTTGAGTTGTTGCATCTGTTCGACATAGTCAAAAGGAATATTGCCTGGGCGACGGGCAAGATTCACAAAACGTGGCACCTCCGACGGGATAAGTGAAAATAGTTCGATCAAGAACAAGAATTCGTATTGAAGCATGTCGAAGCAGGAAGCTGCGGAGCTAGCACTTGAAGCAAAACTCAAGCATATTTCGATCACTTGCGGGAAAACTGAGAGAATTCTTGCGTCAGATAATCACGGTAGAAACGAAAGACATCGTGATGCGTTAAATGAATTAGTAAAAGAAGCAGATACCGCCAAACGTACAGTCGAAGGGTTAAAAATAGCTAGTGGCGAAAAAGTCGAAAGCATTTCCGAGTGGGAGGAATCGATAGAAAATACCATCGGTCAAGCTGACAATGCAATAGAAAAATTACGCAAGTGGCTTATGGAAGTGGATGAAAGTAAGAAAGCACATTTAAGAAAGGATCAGTTGAATTTCGAGAAAGAGTTGTATGAAACTAAGCTGCACTACAAGACTCAATTGGAAGAGTCCAAGAGGGACAAACCAGAAGAGACAGGAGAAATGAATTCTACAATTAGTGGGAATCTGGAAGCTAAACTACCAAAGCTAGTGATTTCAAAATTTAACGGAAGCTACAAAGATTGGCTAAGATTCGGGAACCAGTTCAGCGAGACTATTGACAAATCAACTATTTCCAATGTAAGAAAATTTTCATACTTGAGAGAGTTGCTTGAAAAACATGTCAAGTATTCCATAAAAGCACTACCTTTCACTAGTATAGGGTATAACCGAGCAAAAAGTATACTTCAGTCTAAGTATGGAAAGGAGTCAGAAGTGATTAAAGCCTACACCAAAGAAATTCTTGACTTACCCAATATACCAGATGCTAACGTCTTGAGACCTATGCAACTAAAGTGGAGTCCCTCGATGGAGAGTTTGGTATGGAAGTAGATTTAATAAAAGTGAAAAAAAGTGAACTTTTATCAGTAAAAAAACCCCAATACAGCCATATGAGTTCCAAATACTCACACTTAAAAGGGGTTGATATCCAAGATGGTGACACGAAGGCTCAGCTTCCAGTACATGTCGTTCATGGGGGAGGGGAGTATGCCAGAATAAAAACAAAGAATCGTCCCCGAATAGGCAAAGATGGCGAACCTATCGCGGAGTCGACCAAGCTGGGATGGTTCGTGATGTCCCCTCGAAAGGAATTTGATCACAATCATATGTTACTAACACAAACCACTCAAAAGGATTATGCGAAGTTGTGCCGATTAGATGTTTTAGGACTTGCCGACACCTTAGAACACGATCAAATCTCAGTGTATGGAGAGTTTAAGGAACAATTGGTCAGGAGTTCAGAAGGTTAGTACGAGTCTGGTCTACTGTGGCGAGGTAACCATCCTCCCTTACCACCCTACAAAGAAGAAAGTTTGCGACGCCTCAACAGTCTTGTAAAGAGATTAGACAGGGAAGGAATGGCCAGTGAGTATAACAGGATTATTGAGGAACAAGTCAGCAAAGGGGTAGTTGAACTTGTAACCGAGCCCCCAGTGGGTAGGGAGCTTTACTTACCTCATAAATCCGTGATACGTGAAGCTGCACAAACAACGAAAATCCGTGTAGTTTACGATGCATCCGCTCGAGAGACTCCAAGTGCTCCATCCTTGAATGATTGCCTTTACCCAGGCCCTTTGGAGCGTATTGATTCATCATCGCTTATTTCCAGTTGCACTTTGTGGAGATATAGAAAAGGCATTCCTCCAGATCCGAATAAAAGAACAAGAAAGAGATGACTTACGGTTTCACTGGAAGAGTGACAGTCAACCTGAACCCTTGACATATAGATTCACGAGAGTCGTCTTTGGCTAACTTGCTCTCCATTTCTGCTTGGGGGAGTGCTAGAGCATCACCTAGAAACTTGGAAAACGAAGATGCCAGATATCGTTGAGGAACTGAAGAAATCTATGTATGTAGACGATCTGCTTAGTGGGGACAAACAGTAGACGTAGCCAAGGAAAGAAAAAGAAATCAATCGATGTATTCAACGACGCCAATTTCAGTTTGCATAAGTGGAACTCAAATGCCCCTGAGCTTGAAGCAGATGAAGAAGGAAAGGATGATGAAGAAGGAACTTTAGCAAAACAATAACTTGGAACAAAATCTGGAGAATCTAAAGTGCTGGGACTGATATGGAAAAAGAAAGGTGACGAGATTTCCATAGTGATCCCATCAGAGAAATCGGCAAAAACGAAACGAGAACTACTGAGTAGATTGGCTTAGGTTTATGACCCTTTGGGAATTACATCACCCTTAATTCTAGAGGGAAAGATAATTTATCGTGATATCTGTAAGGAGAAGCCTTTGTGGATGTACAGCTAAGCCATTCTTTGATATATCGATGGGACTGCTAGGAGAGCAATCTTCCGTGTGAAGTAAGTGTTCCGCGATCATTAGCTGGGTTCCGAGAACCAATCAAATCTTTAGAGCTGCATGCATTCGGGGATGCTAGCACACAAGGTGTAGGAGCTGCAGTGTACTCAGTTATTCATCAAGAATCGGGAATTACTCAAAATGTAGTTGCTGGTAAAAGTCGTCTGGCAAAAGAGGACCTAACTGTTCCACGACTAGAACTTGTGTCAGCCCACATGGCAGCGAACCTTCTTGTGAATGTGCGAAACGCTTTGGATCATTCATCGCGGCCGCAAAGTTTTGCATGGCTAGACAGCACTGTCGCCTTGCATTGGATACTTGGACGTGGCCAGTATAAGCAGTTTGTCTCAAACCGTGTCCGTAAGATACACCAACATCCTGAAATAAAATGGCGATATGTGCCCACATCCGAAAATCCAGCAGGGGTGGGAAATTAAATCAGACGTGGCTCTACGGTCCAGAATGGTTATCTGATATGAGCAGATGGCCAAGTAATATAACCACAACTCCAACTATTGCAACAGAAGCAGAAGCGACAGTCTCCCAAAAAAGTATCGCAATGACAACAAAACAGTACAGTGGTGATGTTCTGGAACAGTTATTAAGAAAATGCTCACTTAAACGAGCTCTAAGAATGTCGTCATGGCTCTTCAGCTTCGTAAACAATTGTACACAAGGGGAAAAGAGAACAGGACCATTATCCTTTACCGAGATTGAAGAGGCTAAGATGAAATTTGTGAAAGAAGCCCAAAGCAAGGTCAATTACAACCAAAGTACGAGCAACAATGTTAAGAACTTAATCT